CCACCTCCTCCCCCTCCCCCTCCTCCCCTCATCTTCCCGACAGACACTTCCAGTCTGTGCCCAGCAGTCCTCCCAAAGGGAAGGAAGATGAGTGCCGGCTGCACCTGCCAGCCGCGGCACACCCAGTCCAGACGACACACACCTGCCTGCTTCCTGTCGAGGCTCTTCTGGCAAAGGCAGCACATCCCACATCCTGAGGCTTTCCTCACAGCTCAGGACCTGGGTAGAAATAACCTAACCTCACTTGACGACCTCTTCTGGGGCACAGTACCAAACTGCTAAAGTTCTGTTAGCAGGTTTTACTGTTCTGTCTAAGGTTTTACAATATCCCAGAAAGTGGGTTCTCAACTGTCATGGATATTGAATCACTTCCTAGAAAATATTTGCAAAACTGTTGCAGATTGCGTATTGAAAAGCATATGGTGAGCTCAAGTGTTTCACATGCTCATTTGACGGACTGTTACAAATACTGCCGGTCCTGCTGTTGGGTGATGATGAGCATGCTCACAATATGACACCCCGGTTGAGAGGGACCTGCCCCTCCTATGAACTGTGACTAGCTCTGGCAGTCTGTGAGTGGGAGCAAGCGCAGAGGAGGGAGGCCTGTCAACACTGTCACCACGTGTCAGCACCCAGGTGAAGACACACACAGACCCTCCAGCACGTCCTGCCCCAGGACCATAGGAGCAAATGAAGTGGCAGCTGTGTGGACAACACTGAATGTGAGTGATTTTCTGTAGTGGCAATAACCAGAGCAATGAACTTATACAGCACAGGACACGGAGAGCAGATGAGGGTCCAAAATAGCCAGGGTGCTACCTGGGGCCATAGCAGAGGACAGCAAAGGGCACAGCCTGGGGACTCAGCAATCAGGTCACTAACAGTTTACCATCTGGAAGCTTCCCTTCCTTCCAGAACTTTCCCTCCTGTCCTCTATAATGGTACCTTGGAAAGAATCGTGAGGGACATCCTCCTCGCTCCTGTCTGGCCACAGAACAGAGACTAGTGTGCTGGCATCCCCTTCTCACCCACGCTGCTTAGGTATTTCCTCCTGACTCAAACGCCCCACCTGGAGGAACCTTCTGAAGACTTGGGAAGCTATGAAACTTACAAGATTCAAAAGCCCGCCCCCATGGTTATAAAAGCACATGACAACCGTGGGAAGAGAACACCCGTGGCTTCTCTGACCACAAGCTGTATAGAGAACCCTAAAGGGTAGCCTTGCGAGTTGTCACTAGGTGCAGCTGCCTAAGGCATCGAAGTTTCTGTTAGGAACTCCCAAAACTCGCTGGTTGACTGTGGCAGACCTGGGTGGAATGGTTCTCTGATCTGTGGTTGGGGCTCTGTCTGGAGAGAACTGACGTTTGCTCACATCTCCCCAGGGAAAGTCTCACCATGGATGTGTTTGACACTGTCTCTCTAGGTCTCCCCTACGCTCATATACCAGTGCACACAGCCCTGTGAGGGTGCAAGAGCCATTCTGAGTGTGACTGACATTCATGGTCGTTCTTGTCCTGTCTCCCATCGTCTGAGGGCTGGGAGATGCTCAGTGGTTAACAGCAAGTACTACTCCTGCAGAGGATCTGAGTTCAAGTCCCAACACCTGCTGTGTGGCTTACACCTGTAACTCCAGTTCTAGTGGATCAGAGACCTCTGGCCTCCAAGGGCACCTGTGCTTATATATTTATGCATATATACTGCAGTCCCCTACATAAATTTTTTTTTAAAAAAAAGAGTATAAAGCATTTGAAATAATTCCCCAAACTACCTGATGGAAATGCTTGAAAGTTTGTTTTTTAAAATTATAAGTTAACAAAAAGTTGTCTCATAAATGACATTCCTCACTTAATAAAACTTGCTTCTCTCTCTGGGCAGTGAGCAGTAACAAGAGGCTGCATGCTAAATACTCCACCTGTCATCCTTGAGACTAAAACCACCTTAACTCTGAGATATAGAACTTGAGCTGTAAGCTCAGAAGACTGAGCCGACAAAGCCCTGGGCCCTGCAGTGTCACGTGTGGGCCCGACTCCCACACACGGCATGTGGCATACCTGTTTTTGGAGCTGGAAGGCTGGGTGGCAGCGGGATCTGTAGCCTTCAGCTAGACTAACCAGCAACTGTATTCCTGCTTCCTCCTAGTTTGGAAACGTTGCTTTTAGTCATTGTATATAATGATGTCATTATGGTGTCTTCTTCTGAAGCACAGTCACTTAAGGGTCCCAATCTTTCACAACTGTGAAATAACCCTACTCATCTAAAGCATGGTAAACTCTTCACTGAAGTAGGATGGACCTGGAAGTCACCAGCTGACTGAAATGGAGCGAACAGGCCACTATAATGTACAAAGATCACATCCACCCTCTCCAGAGCATGGCAAACAACAAATACCTAAGGAGAAAAGGATCCCAAGACAAAAGGGAAGCAAGGACTGAAAATCAATACAATTAGAAGAGAATTACATGACCATAAACAGTTACTTGCTAAACATATAAATATTAAAAAACAAGGATAAAATATTATAATATATTCCATCAGCTGTTACAAATGTCTAACTGCAAACCCAGGCCAGCCACTGCACCCTACAAAAGGATAAAGTCAGGGGGCCGAAAGCTGGCAGAAGTCAGGGCACAAACTGACATTTTCTCAACAGTCCAGAGCAAATGCCTGAAATGACCACAAGATCAAAGTGCTGGGGACATGCTCAACTTCTCATTTGCTGATAACCGCTGGCCAGAGCCACAGCCATGCTGTGGGCAGCATCCTTGTGGCTGTGGTCCCAGCTGGGCAGAGACTTGTGAAGGCTGGGGATGAGGGCTGGAATAAGCACTGGGGGACAGAGTATGCCTTCAGGCAGGATAGAGAGATCCTTCTAGAATAAGCACTGGGGGACAGAGTATGCCTTCAGGCAGGATAGAGGGATCCTTCTAGAATAAGCACTGGGGGACAGAGTATGCCTTCAGGCAGGATAGAGCGCTCCTTCTGCTCTAGGATATGAAATCACAGACAGCCTCTCCATAGAGGAACGTAATATCTGAGAGAGGATCTGGCACCGTGTTGAGGAAAGGAAAGAAGGCTGTCAGGGCAAGCACCCCTCCAGGAAGTGAAGAGGATTCGGCCAAGTGGTGGTAATGGAATAACACTGAGTAATAGATTCAAGACGTATTTTCAGACAGAAAACTGAGTACAGAGTGTGAAGGGGAGGGAGGCCTGGAGGTCTGTGAGCCTCAGAAGCCACCTATGGAGATGTGCTACTTAGATGGGAGGGTGGGGTCCACACTCATCATAGGCCTCAAGTCAGGACATACTTATTACTGATAACGTTTTTCTCTGACATAGGGTCTTATACATCCCAGGCTGGTCTGAAACTCCATGGAGCTGAGGAGGACCTTTGGGTCCTCTGCCTTCACCTTCCGAGCCAGGGCTGGGATTACAGGTGTGGGCCACCACAGCTGGCTTATGCAGTGCTAGAGAGCCAACCCAGGTCTCCACATATGCTAGGCAAGCACTCGGCCAGCTGAGCAGTGTTCAGTTTCCCTATGTGGTTCCACTAAGTTATTCTTTTTAGTTTGTGTTCCGTGTCTGTGTTTACTTTAAGGACATAGCTCACACAGAATATAAACAGTGAGAACAGACGAGACAGTTCTGAGGAGACAGAAACGGGATTGTCCTTAGTGTAGGACATGACACACTACACTGTGTCACGAAGACTCAGCAGAGGGCAGAGCTTCCAGCAAGGGAGTCCAGGGCTGGAGCCTGATGCACAGTGAAAAAAGATATCAATTCTCCACATGGCATTCAGAGAGGTTGCCAGCAATTTCAACAAGAAAACACTGAAAACCAGGTTCTTTACTTCACTCCCAAGAGGAACTAAATTCTACCTGGAGCAAAAGATAAAAAAACCACGAGGAAAAGGCTGGGTGGTGGTGGTGTACACCTTTAACCCCAGCACTTGGAGGGAGGGGGGGGGCAGAGGCAGGCGGATCTCTGTGAGTTCAAGGCCAGTCTGATCTACAAGAGCTAGTTCTAGGATAGCCTCCAAAGCCACAGAGAAACCCTGTCTTGAAAAAACAAAACCAAACTAAAACAAATAAAAAACAAAAACAAAAATAAAAACCTAGGAAAATAATGATTATGTTTATAACTTTTGGAATGCAAAGAAGCTTTCAAGGATGACATCAAAGGCAGAAGACAAAGGAAAAGGAACCGGAGCTAAAAAAAAAAAAAAAAAAAAAAAAAAAAAAAAAAAAAAACAGGTGGTACCTCACTAAGAACAGTAGCAAGGTTAATAAAGCGGTGGGAAATGAAAGGTGAGCTAAGACAATGTAGGAACAGTAGCAACAGTGAGGAGAAAAACCAGGTCTTACTGATATTAGCCACAGGGTTCTGCTTTTGCAAACTTCCTAACATATGAACACAGTCCTTCAGCCCACCGTTACAGGGAGTCCCATCAGGCAAAGGCACAGCTCACCTATCAACGGAGACGCTTTAGATAAAGGATGGTCTACTGATGCAACAGAATGGCAGGCACTAACAAAGAGAACAGACACAGCAGAGATCCAAACTACACTAGTGAAAAACACTGTTTAAAGGACAAAGCTTTCTTCCTGTGAGCCCATCTGAAGGCACCATGGAAAGACATCAGTTTTTAACTGTTTCCATTTCTGGCAAAAGGGGTTCCTGATGGCTTGGACTTTATTATTTATTTATGTTGAGACAGGGCTTCCCTGTGTAGCTTTGGAACCTGTCCTGGAACTCACTCTGTTGACCTGGCTGGCCTCAAACTCATGGAGTTTCACCTGTCTCTGCCCCACAAGTTTCACCTGTCTCTGCCCCACAAGTGCTTGGATTAAAGGCATGTGCCACCACTGCCCAGCTTGCTTGGACTGTTAAGCAATTTAAAAAAATATCACCTACAATATTATAACTGAAATTATTCACTTTACCAAAATAATTCGTTTCAGAAATGCAAATACCCTGTTCCATCAATCTGACATATACTTGTAGGGGTTTCCTGCATTTGGCTAATCGTGTTTATCACCTGTTCCTTGGTTTTAACACCAACACTGCTATCAAGAGCAAAGACGAAGATGTGTTTAAGAGAGGACAAATTATTTCAGATTCACAGCTCTGATTTTCATACATGTATGTTGTTAATTTATAGTTATTCTGATGAAGACTATAATTTAAATTAAAATGAAAATTGATGAATAGATAATTGTTGCGGGAGGTCTTTCCGCCCCTCCAACCAATAGCTGCTGTGATACCAGCCCATTGGGGCGTGGTCTCTCTTCCTTTAAAAAAGCGGCTATTTCCTCTGCTCGCTCTCTTCACTTCCTGCTCCGCCGGAGACTAGACTCCCTTCCTGGTTGTGCAGATGGCTGTTGTCTGAGACGGTGATCTGTAAGTTTTCCCCTTTAAATAAACAACACCCTATTAATCATAACTCCAAACTGGTGTGGCCTTGTTCGTGACTTACGCCTTCAGATAATCATATTTGAAAAATAAGACATGTTCTTCCATTGCTAGAGGTGGTAGATTCAGCCCCCCCCCCCCCCCCCCCCCCCCCCCCCCGTGGTACCTTCAGCTCTGACAACGTGTCTTCCGCAGTGAACCTGAGCAGAAGCACCAGGGAGAACGTGAGCAGATGGCTCGCTGCTTCTTTCGGAAATTCACGTAAGTTGATCTCCCCATGGCTTAGACGGTCCCGGATACGAGGACCCTCCTGATAGTTCAGGAGATCCCACAAGAATTCCTTTTAGAAAATTAACAGAGAGGCATTTTGTTAGTGTTGTGAGCAAAGGGAAGAGCAGAAGGCAGGGTTCCAAGCAGTTCCTGGCTTGTTTACAAACTAATGGGAAATATGAGTCTCAAAGAGGGCATTCACCCCATCCTGCAGCTGGAACTGGGGTGGGGAGCGCATGCTCTGTACAGCCTGCCTGCAGGAGCCGAGGACCAACCACGGAGGCCGCGGCCTGGAAGGAGCTGCAGCCTTGGCACTCCTACCTTTGCTACTCTGACCCTCCTATCTGGAAGGAAAAGAAACATCCGAAAGAAGTCTTAAGTCGCTGCTCTTGCTGGAATGAGCAGAACCAAGCAGGTGTCCAGTCCTTTCCCCTGCACTTACCCGTGGACCACTCCTGCATCTTACATCAACAAACAAAGCTGCTTGCCCCTCTTAACAGTAGCTCCCCAAAACCTCTCTCTGCCAGACTACAGAGAGGTCAGAAAACCACTGATGTGGGCAGACTGCCAACAGAGGACGAGTCCCGGGGACTCAAGACAGGGCAGGAAGGGATGCCAAAATCACATAAGGAATGGGAAGCAGAATCCAGATCGTCTCTTGGTGTGGCAGAATAAACAAAAAGTAGCTACTATAGTCTAGAGCAGTCACTGTCGCATCCTCATAAATATTAAATGCTGATTGAAAAAAAGGTCAAAACATTAATTCTGTCTCATCCAACACTTAAGAGACACCAGGTATTCAAAGGGCATGGCAGTAACCAGAATAAACAAGCCCAGTGCCTCTATGCAGGCACCCCTGACGGGTGTCTGTCACAGCACAGCAGCAGGCCGGCTGCCGAGCACACCGCAAACATGTTCATGCTGCCCGAGATACCAGCTTATAAACAGAAAGACCTAGGACTGGAGATGCCCGGTACTTTACCATGGCAGGCTCTCCCAGGAAATGAGGAAGCCGGTTGATGCTACCATCATCCAAGTGCTTTGCCAGGATCTAAAACACCAAAATAGATTAATCAATAAGCTGTTAAACTGACACACGCACAAGCATACAACAACCCCAATTCATGTACCTGCACATACACGGACACTGATCTGTGCACAGTCAGTCAGAATATTTGATTGCTAACGTTGCTGCACTGGCTGAGGGCAGCTGTTCTCAACGTTGTCAATCTGTTTACATTTTCCCACTTTGTGTTTGTACAACCTCAGAAATGAGATTAATAATACCAGGCCTCAAACTTAACCTAAAAGCTCTATTTATTTGAAACAAGTTTCATGAATTACAAGTTGCCTTCAAATCCTGCCTCTACATCACCAGGGATGGGATTCAGGTGTGTGCTACCGTGCTGGGTATACTCAGTGCTGCAGAACCAACCCAAGCTTCATGAACGCCATTCAAGCACTGAATCCACCGAAATATGAGCTGTATTCAAATCTAGCACAAGCTTCTTCTTGCTTCTCAACATTTTCCTGTAAGTATGCTACTTAATCTTTGTGGATTTTAATTCATAGTATTAAATTATTTTAAATTTACTTATTTTATGTGCGTAAGTATTTGCCTGCATGTATGCATGGGTGTGAGCCACCATACAGGTTCTTGGGATCCAACCCAGGTCCTCTGCAACAACAGCAAGTGCTCCTAACCACTGAACCATCTCTCCAGCCCTAATCACTGTGTTTTAATTTGTATTTAAAAGAGGATGATTATTTTCCAAGGTTTTTTGCAAATTTGACTACTTACTTCATCAAATGTGGTATATAGAATTGTTGACTGTAGAAAGGCGAAGAGATAAAAGAAAAAAATTAAAACAGTAATATCATTCAAAGAAAAACAATTCTGCCTCTCAGAAGGTGCTGCTTTTATAACATGAAGTATAAAGGACACTATCTTACATAATCACAATTAAAACAATTGTGTTTTAACAGCAAATAAGATGTAAGTGTGTGTGTGTGTGTGCACTGTAAGGGACTGAACCCAGGGGTTTGTACATATTAGGTGGATGTGTGTGTGTGTGTGTGTGTGTGTGTGTGTACTGTAAGGGACTGAACCCAGGGGTTTGTACATATTAGGTGGATGTGTGTGTGTATGTGTGTGTGTGTGTGTGTGCACTGTAAGGGACTGAACCCAGGGGTTTGTACATATTAGGTGGATGTGGGGTTCCCCTCTGTACACTGCCAATGTTTATTGCCATTAGTTAATAAAGAAGCTGTTTTCGGCCAATGGCTTAATAGAGTAAAACCAGACAGAAAATCTGAACAGAGATGTAGCAAGAGAGTAGGCTTAGTCAGGGAGACACTATGCAGCTACTGAAGGAGACAAATGCTCCCAGAACCTTATTGGTAAACCACGAGCCTCGTGGCAATACATAAAATAATACGAATGAGTTAATTTAAGATGTAATATTTAGCTAGGAATACGCTAGAGTCATTGGCCAAACAGTGTTTCAATAGTTTCTGTGTGATTATTTTGGGTCTGGGCGGCCGGGAACAAGCAGCCTCTGTCTACATTAGGCAAGTGCTTAGCCAACTTAACTACATCTCTAGCCTTTAAAACTTCCAAATAGCCACAGAAGATTATCAATATAGTCCCCACAGTCACAATAGCCACAGAAAATTATCAATATCGTCCCCACAGTCACAGTGAGTAGCAGAAACACATGTACCTCGGCTGTGAGGAGTCTAGCAGGGCATTTGTTAACTGCAGCAAAAACTCTCCTGAGTCCAGCTTCTAGCTGTGACAGCAACAGCATGCTGCAGTCAGCAAACCTGTGGAATCCGAGGAACTCAGCAAACGCTGCAGCAACTGCACGGCAGCCTAGACGGCCATTTTTGGTGTTTTAATCCTTAATGAAATGTTTTCAGTAGTTTCAGAACAAATGTCATCAAAGATCTGCATATGCTACCCATCACCTCTGAAGACGGCCAAAACAACAAAGCTCCAGAGGGCAGCCCAAGTGCAAAGTGAATCCAAGAACAAGGTTACTGCAGATTAGATCTCTGGTCTCTGCTTCCCTGAAAACGTGCTGTTCCTGGCTGTCACCCAGGGTTGGCCTTTAAGGGAACCCAATGGGCAAGCACACCTGTAATGCTAGGTTCAAGTTTTTCTTACAGCAAGGACTCAGAAAATAAACTAAGAAGTTTATTCTTAAAAAATAAAGTTATATGGCCAGCAAGTAGTGGTGCACCCTTTAATCTCAGCACTTGGGAAGCAGAGGCAGGCAGATGTCAATGAGTTAGAGGCCAGCCTGGTCTACAAAGTGAGTTCCAGGACAGCCAGGACCGTTACAGAGAAACCCTGTCCAGAAAAACCAAAAAAGTCCTATCAATTGTATCCAAGAGGATGACAGGGAACACTTGAAACAGTTACAGCCTGTCCAAGTTACCAAAGAAAAACACTCTGTACTGAGCCTGATCTGCATCAGTCTCTCCTCTACTCAGTCAGGACAGTGGGTGACTTTCAGACAGCGAAGGGCACAGAGCAGACCTGGCATCTAAGCACCAACACCACCACACCACCCTTGTTACCTGTGCACCTTGAACTTGGCCACTGCCAGTTCCCAATATGGTAACATGGCTTTTAATACGAAGGCGGAGTTCCTCATGGCGTTCTCTACTGCTGAGAGCACCTCATAGGTAACACCTGTGGAAGAGCAAGCATCTTTATAAATACAGTCACAGCAGCCAACCAAAAGAAGTCAGGAGCACATATGGACGGATGGACTGACCTGGGGCAGAGCACCCCTAAAGAGGAAGAGTGCCTGACCTACAGCCACAGTGGGGTGGCCTCAGGAAGCCTGCCAAGAGGAAATGCGCAGCACCGGAGAGTGCCCTCAGGGTACCCTCGTCCATCACACTGACGAGGAGGAGGGGAGGATGCGTTCTCAGGGGACACCCAGCTGATGAAACGGCCATGAGCACAGATGCAGACAGGGCGAGAGGTTTGAAAAACAACACAAATGGCCCCAAGTTGTTCTGAACGGTAGCACATCTGAGGAAGAGGTCAACTCTATCTGTGACTCTCAGGGTCCCCAACAGCACTCAGGACAGCCAGAAGCGGGGAAGCTTAAAAGGTCTTCAAGTCACTCACAAAGCCAACTTGGCAAGGGTAGTAAGTAATTCACCAGGAATCTAAGTCTCCATGAAGATGTAAGGGGGCAGTGTGAAACAGAACTTGCCAGGAAAAACAATCACGTCCTCTAGGTTTGTAAGAGTGACAAAAGGTCGATGTGCCAATGTGACGTTCCTTTGGTGAAGGTAGCTCTTCAGCAACTGGCCCAGTCCTGCTGTCAACAAGAGCATAGCTGAACAGTACCTAAGGATGAGCAGAAACCAGAAAATGAACTTAGTCTACACACAAGCACTTTTCTTAGGAAAAAATGCTAAAATTATGCAGGAAGGAAGACTGAGATGGGTCAGCAGGTGAAGGAGGCAACAGCCGAGCCGCAGACCTCAGGCTAAGGGCTGGACCACATCTGGAAGGGAAGACCCACTCCCCACAGTTGTCCTTTGACTTCCACACAAATGCTGTGCTGTATATGTGCATGAACCAATGAAAATAAAACAAAAGAATTAAGAAACCATCAAACTCCAGAACTCTCCACAGATGGAGCTAAGCTGAGTAATAGCAAGGAAGCCACTGAGATCTCAGGACACTGGGCTCCTGCCTATCCACTGAGATCTCAGGACGCTGGGCTCCTGCCTATCCAGGCTTCTGGGTGTGTTCTTCTGGGGTGCGAGGCACTGACATTCTCCCTCTCCTCTTAGGAGGACCGAGATAACGCACATTCTGAAGCGGACTGAGGAGGAAAGTCACTCAGCCAACAACTTACTTTGGAGGGATGTCTTCAGGGGCAGCAAAGCCGTGCCACAGGATGTTCCTCAGGTTAAGTCCACAGGGAGACCCGATGAAGACTTTCAGTATGTCCATCTAACCCATTAAGAGAGCAGATTACTGACGAGCAGAGTAAATAAACTCACCCTACAGTGTTTGCGGCTCCCTTAGAACTAAGAGAGCCAAGAGCTTCTGCCAGTATAATATAGTAACAATGAAACTAACACCAAAATTTTATGCAGTTTCATTGGAGTCTGCCAGGATGTAGAGGTCAGAGGACAATTTGTGGGAACCCCATTTCAGGCTCTCGACCAGAAAACCGTTTTCAGGCTGGCAAGGGAGATGATCCAGTGAGCATTGGGAGGGCTCACTGGAGACGGTTTCTGGGTGTCTCAGCCCCAGATAGTGAGTCTGGTGGAATTCTGGTCCAACTAAGATGGCCGTTCTTTCTAGTCTTCTCCCTCACTGAGCTGCCCATATGGCACGATTTAGTCTGAAGTCTCTTGATTACAGTCCCTCTAGAACATTCTGAGAAGTGTAACAGCGTCTAAATTTCTTACCAAGTTCTATTTTTCTTTTTTGCCACTCTAAGTCTGGATAACTGCAAAATGTATACATTCTTAACTGCTAAAACAGGTATTTTAGGACAAAAATGCCATACTATCATTCCAAAGTGCTAACCATGGGCTGCAGCGACTTAGTACAAGCACTGTGAATACTTCACTGAATACAGTGATATGCTCTAACTGTCTCTCCGGCTGGACCTATGTGGTTATCCCAACACCATGGCATTTGGGGAGAGAGATCCTGGAATAGTGCAGGCAGGACAGTTCCCGGAGGAAGGAAGAAGAACTTAAATCCATGAGACGGTTAGCTCTCACAGAGTATTGTTATTTTAGAGGATCAAAAGCACAGCTCGTGCCAGCTCCTCTCTGCTTTATGTGCTGTGCACACACTTACCACAGCGCGCCCAAAGACTTGTGCAAGCTCTGCAGATGCAAGGAGATCTCTCAGAAGGAAGGGGCACTCCTTTCCAATCAGTAAAAACACCTAAAGTTCAAACAGAAATCATATAATAACTGCATTACAATGAGGCAGTATTTTAAAACAGAGCATCATTTATGATGTATAGCACAAATGAGCAAAGAAAAATGCTAGACAGATTCCTTCCGTGTGTGTGTGTGTGTGTGTGTGTGTGTGCGTGCGTGTGTGCTGGCTGCACACACCAGAGGCCAGAGGAGTACATCGGGTGTCTTACTCAGCCACTCTCCATCTTATTCTCTGGACAGAGGGTCTTTTACTGAAACTAGAGCTAGAACAGAGGCCAGAAAGCCCCAGTGATCCTCTGTCCACGCTCCCCCACACCCAGTGTATAAACAACCATACACAGCTTTTCATTTTTAAACATGGGTGCTGTAATCTAAATCCAGGAACGCGTGATTACACAAAGTACTTGGATCTATTGAAACTTCTCCCAGCTCACAGGTACTAGGATTTCTTAATTATATGAAAAGAAAATCATTGTATTTTACAGGAAAAAATAATAAAAATCAAGAAATCTGAAGGTTATGTGTTCATCCAGGCAATCTAGCAAATAACGAGGACCCCCACACTCACATCACCTAAGGCTCGCTCCAGACAGGAGGTCAGTTTCATCACACCGAGGGAGATAGCAACCGAGTGCAGGCCTTCCAAGGCATCAAATATTTGAAGAAACAGCTATTCAGAGTAAAACACACATTAGAGCTCAGACTGAAGGAAAATCATTCTCAAAACAAAAATTATTTTTGAGTTACTACTATTACTGAATTCAAGCCTCAATATTTCAACTGCTACATTTAAATGTTTGGTATAGCCAGGCAATGGTGGCGCACACCTTTAATCCCAGCACTCAGGAGGCAGAGGTAGGCGGATCTCTGTGAGTTCGAGACCAGCCTGGTCTACAGAGCTAGTTCCAGGACAGGCTCCAAAGCCACAGAGAAACCGTGTCTCAAAAAACCAAAAAAAAAAGAAAAAAGAAAAAAAAAGTTTGGTATAAGCAAATAGTTTCTACTAAATATTATAATAAAATTATTTAATACATAAAGAGTTCTTTGAAAGTTCTTTCTTTAAATGTTTATTCAAAGCATAAGTCTGGCATAATAGTGAAACCAAATATTTTGACCTACTCCTTATTTCCTGTAACAATTTAGTTTAGCTCCTCTAAGGCAGCTCACCTGAACAGACTGTTTTAGAATCAGATATTACAGGTACTGCTTTATTATGCTCCTGTGTCAGATGAAACACAGGAAAAGAAGAAACCAAACCACACAATGCTTGCATTAGGACCCCAATGACTATATATTTTACAATTCACTATGTAGAAACCAAGCACCTACTCTCTGAGCTAACCTTGTGATTGTCTCCCTGGGAGTTCTGTCCTGATGCTAAAGTGGACTTTATTTTCTACTGCTATGGTGGTGTGAACGGGAATGGCCCCCAGAGATTCATGTGTTTAGATTCCTGGCCCACGGGGAGCGGCACTATTGTTGGAGTAGGTGTGGCCTTGTTGGAGGAAGCTCAATCCAGGTCACTTTCTGTTGCCTGTGAAGATGCAGCACTCGTAGCTCCCGCTCCAGCACCGTGTCTGCCTCCGTGCTGCCCTGCTTCCCACCATGATGACAATGAACTAACCTAAAAGACTGGAAGCCAGCCCCAGTTAAATGCTTTCCTGTATAAGAGTTGTCGTGGTCATGGCGTCTCTTCACAGCAATATAAGTCTAAGACAAATGCCTCCCTAGTTGAACCCAAAAGTTGTTCAAAGTGTGTTCCTCAACTCAGGCTTCAGATCCTATAAATAAACTACTTAGATTTCTCTTGCAGCTTCCAGGACCTCTTCAACGCTGGAAGGCCAAAATGGAAAAAGACACCCTTAATTTAGCAAGTAATGAGGATTTCCAAGTTCCAAAGTCTTTTATTTCTAGAGCTGTGCAAATGTCAAACCTCTGGATAGGCTGTCCACTGGAACCATGGCGAATACTTCATTTCAAACTGTGCCCTGGTCAGAGACAAGGTGTGTAGATGGATGGCCTCACAGACAGGACCCAGCAGTCGCACGCTTTCCCTGTAATCCAGACTCTGCCCTACAGAAGGAGAAATATGTTTTAGTTCCACAGCTGTATGCCACAGCATGAAAAAAAAGGCTAAATCAAAGAAAAGCTTTAATTACAAAATGTTCCAAAGTCAAGCAGCTTATAACTGGAAATACGATAAGTGTCCTTGTAGCTCGGTAGAAATGAATTGCAGAAGGCTTTACTACCAGTGAGGAACGTGCAGCTATAGTTTTAGCCACTCACAATCAACTAAAAAGTATCAAATGCCAGAAATAATCCATAGTGTCAACTAGGTGCTGTTCTGAGAAACACGAGGGAGGCGCCACCCTATTCTGTCTTGTCCTTTATCCAGGTATCCATGCTATATATGCACCTAGTGACTAGCGAATCCAGGCCCTGAGATGGATTCCAGCATCCCTGGCTGCCTCCTGCTCACACACAATTTTCTCACCTAAGCATGTCTTGACTTTTCTATATTTTCCAGTTTTCTTTTTCTCCTCTGACAACTACATTATTACACCCTCCAAGAAAAAGAACCAAGGAGGGCTTTATAGGCCAAAACATTTCGAGTGGGATGGTACTGACAATACAAACCTGATTCTGCATAGCGCACGCGGTCTGTGATTGCTTTCCAGAGCACTTCACCATTTTGAGTGACAAGGCTATCGATATCACATTTTTCTCTGAGTTCAAAGCCAAGGTTACAAATCAAGTCGTGCACTAAAGGAGAAAGGCACGTGGTAATGGTATCTCCTGTTAAAATCTGTAATATAAAACATAAAGGGCACTCACTGTTACATCCAAGTCAAAAGAAAATCCTATCCTACGTAAAGACAGAACTAAGGTACGGAAGCTGTTAATATGCTGTCTGGATACCGCAACAGCGCATTTTATGGGTCTGCTTTAAAGTGCATGTTGAAAGCCTTGAATCGTTTCTTTAATCAACCTTGCTGATGCCGGAGTTCAGAGGTTCGGCGGGGTTTTTTTGTTTGTTTGTTTGTTTGTTTGTTTTTGAACAATGCATTGCCATTCCCTGACACTCCTTTATGCTGCAGTGATCAAAATCAGCGGTTCTTCACAGAGAGTGGGGGTACAGAACATTTCCGTCCTTGGCATGGAACACAATTTCAGGCCGAGAAGCACCGAGTAGGTGCGTGGAATGACGGATCCCGACTTTTCTGTTTCCACCACGCTTCCTCCCGCTCATCAAACACGGTGTTGCATACATTGGCTTTCCCTGCAGCTTATCATCCCGCTTCGGGCCTGCCGCTAGGGCGAGACCGACTAGCAATGTCCAACCCCACCCCGCAGGGATCCCAAGACAGTGACCGGGTCTGGACAGGGCCGCGCGGGAACCCCCTGTAGGCGGGAGTCACCCTACCTCCATCGCTTCCTGCTTGGACGTGGCGCTCTCTGATGACGCACGTCTTCCCGCCGCGACTTCCGGGACGCGACTGCGGGCGCGGCGCTGGCGCGAGATTCGGTCTCTGGCTTCGCGGCTGGGGCGTTGGGCGACTGCGGAGGCGGAAGGCGCGGCACCTGGGAGAAAACCGATCAAGATGGACCGGCGAGCCCGAATGACGAAGCCGCCCGCCAGCCAAGCGCCGCATCACTCCCCGGTGGCGCCTAAGAGGGAAAGGAGGCCTAGCATGTTCGAGAAGGAGGCAGTGAGTGCCGAGCGCAGGCCCGAGGCAGCTTCCCGACCCCTAGACGAAGCTGCTCTGTCCCAGTCGTCCCGAGCCGCGGGGAGGATGACTGCCCTTCACCTTCTTTCCGTTTTCTTGACCCTTGCGAGTTTAGGTCGAGCCATGTGGTTTAGACGTCGAAGGCCGAGGGTTGTTCGTTGTTAAATCCAAAGAGCCATACGTTAACTAATGGAAAGTTTTTTACAAGATTGTTCCCAGTTCTTTTCAGACTTACCTGGCCAATGTCCAAAGTTATCCAATAGTTGTATACATTGCGCCTTCCAAACGCAATTTTAGTATATACATAGCTTACCAACCCCAAGCGAGTTTATACCATATATATGCACCTTAAACACACACACACACACACAGAGAGAGAGAGAGAGAGAGAGAGAGAGAGAGAGAGAGAGAGAGAGAGCGCGAGCGAGCGCACTAGGAAAAAATAATGGCGTGCAGATCAACACAGAGAAAGAGAGTACATTAGGAAAAAATAATGGCGTGCAGTCTTGTTTGTTATTTGAAGAATATTTAAGAGGAAAGTTAAAAAATAATCTAGTTATTTCTCTGATAGCAGTAGAAAAGGTCATCCCTTAAAGTCTAGTCCTCTGAAGGTAAAAACTGCGTAGGCCAGTAATTAAAAAGAAATTAGAACAGGACCCCACTTGTTTGCTCACCAACACTGAACGTTAATTTCAAGTGGCCAGTGGTTTCTGTGTTTCTGAGAACATGAAAAGTCAGGACACACTTGAATCAGTATGTCCCAAATTCATTTGTAGAAAATGATTCATTTGTTTTATGCACAGGTATGTGTGCCTGGGTGTATGTGCAGTGGCAGCTGTGGTTGTGAGCCACCAAGTAGTCGCTGGGGACCGCTGTGTCTTCTGCAGGCGCTCTCCAGCCCCATGTGTCTGTTCCTGTTTTTCTAGGCAGTATTTTCAGAAAAGTAGCTTGTCTGCAGCTTGGTAGGCTTTAGTGGTGTAGGCGACAACTTAAACTTTGTAGCAAGATGAAACAAAATTAGATTTATTTAATGACCTAAGAAAAGGCTTAAGTGTATTATAATGACAGATGCAAACTGGAATGTCCTTGTGTCTTTCTGAGTCTAGTTATTATGGTTTTCTGTCTTGTCTGTGAATTACTACCATCTTTCCAACAAAATGCATTTTTGCTTAGCAGGAATTAGGTCTTTACAACAGAGATTACTTGGGCCAGATTACTAAAAATTGGCAGCTTTGTCAATCCCACTCAAATGTGTATTTGAAACCATAATAAATACCACTTTTGCTAAATAATTAAATATCTCACTGGAATAATGACACCAGTAAGCTCAGTTTGTTCTAGGTCTGTAAGTAGCCACCATGTAGATAAACAACAGATAGTAGCTTATATTGATAACAAATTTGGCGGCATTTAAAAAGATGATAAGGATTTCATCTCAGCTGAAAGAATAAAGTACTTTTAATAAGGGTATGCAAAATCAAGTGACCAGTGTTATACATAAAGAAGAAATGTCAGAAATGCAGTTCTCAAGGTAGTCTGCTCACTAAGGGTTAATTTGCAGCTTCATGTGTCCTATTCCCAGAAGAATCATGCAACCTTGAAAACACGGCTAGTCATAAAGTACATTAATAGTGTATCCCTTGAGGGTGTTGTAGTAGAAAGAAGGTAGCAGTTGCTTCTTAAGAGAAAGGTTGAATTAGCCTTCGGTAAACAAACATCATGTCAGATCAGGTGACTGAATGAGCTCACAGATTTCATCTCACAGAAAGAAGACCAGTACGCTTAGAAGCATGAGGGGAGAGTTTTGAAAAGGTGTTCAAGGTCAGTGAAGTGTCTTAGTAGTCTTGTTATTTGAGTTCCTAAAAGATAAAGGAAGGTTAACAAATAATGTTTGAAATTCTAGATGAAAAGAGACAAATATGAAAACTAAACCCATAAACCAAAGAATCTCAGTGAATTCCAGGCACAAGAAATTTTGCCGAGACATACTTGAAACCAGTGGTATAAATATTTCTATGAAAGAGAAAATAGGCTTCTCAGAAACCATCTGAATCAGAAAACACTGGAGCATCATCTTCACTGAAAGAAAATCATACCTAGAATACCATATGCAGCTAAAATATATCTAAAAAACAGAATTCCAAAGTGTAATATAAGGAAGTTGAAGTCCCTACATTTAAATAAAAGTAAAAATTTGCAAACCTCAAATCAGTTTTTAAATACATTAGAAAAGTGATTATAGCACAAATTACTACCACAGAGGTTAGTGATAGTTGGTAGAGAGACTCAGCATACCAAAGCTCAGGCTTTAGTGGTAGGGTATGAAAACCTGAAATGTAATGGGTAAACTACTATAGTCCCCTTCTAAGTGTGCGCGCCTGCGAGTGTGTGTGTGTGTGTGTGTGTAGCAAGCTTTCTTGTTGGACTAACTTTGGACTGCCAGCCCACAAATAATGACCTGGAGACTTACTATTAATTATGAAAGCTTGACTTTTGCTTAGGCTTTTCCCCAATTAGCTCTTATAAGTTAATTAACTCCCCCCCACCCCCAAGGCAGGGTTTCTCTGTGTAATAATAGCTCTAGCTGTCCTGGAACTAGCTCTGTAGACCGGGCTGGCCTCAAACTCACAGAAATCCTCCTGCCTCTACCTTCCAAGTGCTGTGATTAGAGGCATGTGCCACCGCCACCTAGCAATTAACCTATATATTTTTTCAAATCTGTGTTCTACAATGTAGCTCAGTTACCTCTTAGTGCAGCACATCTGACTAGCCTACATGTCTGCTGAGGAAATTGTGTGCCTAGATTCCTCCTCCCAGCTTCTCTCTCTCTCTCTCTCTCTCTCTCTCTCTCTCTCTCTCTCTCTGTCTCTCTCTCTCTCTCCACAGAAGTCCCACCTATACCTCCTGCTTAACTATTGGTCATTCAGCTTTTTAATCATACCAGTTACAGCAATACATCTTGGAACAGTGTACAAACTTCCCACAATAGTTCCTCCTTTTTGTCTAAATAAAAGGAAAGGTTTTAGCTCTAGTACAGTAAAAGTATATATAGTAAGAACCATTATCAAGGAAGAATTGCATTCACAATGTCTTGTTCATTTGTGCTTAGCAAATTTGGAGAAATTACCATATTATCTCCCTTTAATGCTCCTCTTTCTACTCTAACAGGTAACAGGAAAGAAACAGTTATGTTTGCTTATGAATACATGTTAAGTGTGTATCTGTTACAGGTGAGATGAAGGGCAGCATGACAGAAAGAATGGGAGGAAAGAATTAGAGTTATTTTGTTATATTAATTTATACTGTCCATGAGTGTTACAGTGTTAGTTGAAAGTGGATTTGAATTACCTGCAACACATATTTTGCAAACTCTGGTGTTATGAGAGGAAGTAGAGGAGGTGGAGGAAGAGGAATTAAAATGCTGAGAAACTAGAGGAGAGGAGTCACATTAAATACTCAGTTTAAGTCACAATCGAAAAGAATGAAAGACAAGAACACAAAGAACAAGGGCATCAAATAGAAAAGAGTAACAAATACCATAACTATTAATCCAGTCGTTCCATAATCACGTTATCATTGGTTTGAATACAGCAATTTAAAACAACAGTTGTTAGAGTTAATTAAACTAGAACTCAACTGTGTTTATAATGTCACTTAAAATATACATAAAAGTAGATGGGTGGAGAAAGACACACTAATATTAAAATTAAGTAGAAGTTAGCCGGGCAGTGATGGTGCACATCTTTAATCACAGCACTCAGGAAGCAGAGGCAGATGAATCTCTGTGAGTTCGAGGCCAGCCTGGTTTACAGGATGAATTCCAGGACAGCCAAAGATATATAGAGAAACCCGGTCTCAAACAAACAAACAATCAAACAAACAAAAAAGCCTACATTTAGCTGGGCGGTAGTGGTGCATGCCTTTAATCCTAGCACTTGGGACGCAGAGGCTGGCAGATCTCTGTGAGTTTGTGGTCAGCCTGGTCTACAAGAGCTAGTTCCAGGACAGGTAGGGCTGTTACATAGAGAAACCCTGTCTTAAAAAAAGCACACACACACACACACACACACACACACACACACACACACACACGTAGGAGTAGCAAAGCAAAAGCAAAGCAAGTGAAGCCATCAGTGATGAAGTAAGGCGTTGCCTAGCGAGGATGGGGCCAGTTGTCTGGGAAGACAGACCAATTCTTGCAAATATACAACAGATGGTGCAGCATCCGAGTATGTGAGAGGACAGTGTATAGGTTTAAAGGAGACATACACCAGCCTAACATTATAGTGGGAGATTTCAGTAATACACCTTCAAAAAATGGCAGTGCCGGATCTGCCTTGTGTGGAGCATCTCTCTACCGTGAACGAGGCCCTGGGTATGCATGATCTCCAACATAGAAATTTTTTAGCTTTCAATAAACTTTATTATAAAAACTTGCAAATAAAAAAGTTATGCACTGAAATTAACCAGATCCAAAGTCTATACACCTCAGTGAACTTCTATGAAGCTAGAATAGTACACAAATATGTGTACACAGATTTATTTGTACATGAAAGTTTTTATGTGTCCTTTCTGTATGTATACCAGAGCATACACCACCACCTGCTGGCAAATAAAGCGTAACTAAACCAAAAAAGAAAACTAATAGCCCTGTGAATATTATTGCAAAAGAAAAACCAAACACTTTGCAAAAAGCACTAGTATCAGTCTTCAAAGAGTTATACACTGTGACCAGGTTTTCCTGGATGCAAAGATAGGTCATCATATAAAAGTCTACCAATGTAGTAATACAACGAAGTAGTAAGTTATGTGATCATATCCATTGATTAAGAAAAATCATTTTTATCAAAATTTACCCTTTCGTGATGAAAAAACTACTGGAATTATCAGAATATTAAAAATCCACGTGTTAAAATCCCATAGCCAACATTATATTCAGTGGTAGGAGACTAAAACTTTGCCCCCAGCAGGACTAAGGCTTTGTCCATTCATCTCGTGTTCATCACTTGTGGTCAACATGAAACTGGAAGTTCTAGCCAAGCAAGTAGGTACAGAAAGAAATTCCCGCTTATTAAGACAATGAAGCTCGCCACTCTAAGGCCAAGCAGGTGATCCAGGAGCTGCAGCAGTGTTGTCCAGATCTGGAAACTGCTAGGTGGCTTTGTCGTCTACAGATGTGCAGCATTGCTCCCACAGTGTCCATAGACAGCCTGGGGCGCATGCACTGCACCACAGTCACAGGGTGGGCGCATCGGTAGGGCTCCAGTTATTTTATTAACACAAATTAGATACTTCAGATGGCATCGTGTTAAAGATCATGGACCGATACATTTCATGTCATATATAATATATATGCCTTTGTTATCTTTTCAAGTTAAGATTTATAGTGTATTACTTAAATCTGTTATTTATTTAAAGATAACTAAATGTATGGATAATACTTCCATAATTGCAGGTTGTAAGGAAACATGGAAAGCTGTTATATCTTTATCTCTCAGGCACTCTCTGGGGCTACTCTTGTTTCTTGGCCTTTTGGATATTTTTTAGGTATTCTAGATATAAGCACACAAGCTTGCATATTTTATATTTGTGTATGTCATGGTTACTTTTCCTGTTGTGATAAATACCCTTACAAAAGCAGCTTAATAAAGAAGAGTTTGTTTTGGCCTCATGGTGCCAGGGTACAGTCCACCAAGACAGACAAGTCACGGCAGCAGGGGTTTTGATCACATTGAATCCACACTTTGGAGGCAGAGAGCAGTGATTACTTGTGCTCCACGCACTGTCTCCTTTCTATACAGGTCAGGATAGGTCTTCTCATTATCTTTAATCAAATCAAAATAATCACGGGAGGCAGAGGCAGGCAGATCTCTGAGTTCGAGGCCAGCCTGGTCTACAAGAGCTAGTTCCAGGACAGGAACCAAAAAAAGCTACGGAGAAACCCTGTCTCGAAAATCAAAAAAAAAAAAGTAATAATAATAATCCTCCTTAGGCAAGCCAAAAGCCTATCTCTCAGGTGGTTATTTAGTCTCAAATTGATAATAGAAACTGTTAATAGTTGGAAGTTAATAGTCTTAAGATTTAGTGACTGCATTGAAGTCTGCCTAGAAGATTTCAGGTTTGTTAGCTCAGCCTCCAGTGTATGCAGATTCTTAAAGTCTGAAATGTAATCTTTCTCCCTTCCTCTTTCAGTATGCACAGATCTTAAGAGAAAGACTGAGAGAATCTTTTCATGATGTTCAGTATGTGGAACCTCCATTTGATGATTCAATTGCTGATATAGGCAAAGAATGGAAGAGTGCCCTGGCAAAATTAAAGTTTGCTAATTCATATAGAATGGAGCCATTGAAAAAATTCCAAGCACATTCAGTAGAAACTAAAATCCAGCAGATATTAAAGGTAATCAGGGCCCAAGGATATAGCTCAGTGGTAGACACTTGTCTATGAGACTATTGAGGCCATGCTAGGTCAAAATAAATCATGTGATATCTATTGAGGAAGGTGTGTGTATATTCCCTAGTGACTCCCTGTAAAAATATAGAGGCAAAATGGTCCTACAATTCTGAGTGTTGAATTCAGTCTGAACCTGAAGGGAAAGACAACCAAGTTCTCTGTAAACTAAATTCTGACATGGGACTGTGCTGTGTGTGGGATAATTCTTCTGTATGCTGTGACTATGTATTACTTTCATTAGTTAATAATAAAACATATTGGCCTATAGAAAGGCAGGATAAAGTTAGGTGGGAAAATCAAACTGAGGACAGGGATGAAGGGCGGACTTGAGGGAGATACCAGCAAGTCGCTCAAGAAGCAAGAAGCTAGAGGACAGGTAAAGCCACAGCCACATGGCAATATATAGATTAATAGAAATGGTTAGTTTAAATGTAAGAGCTAGTTAGTAATAAACCTGAGCTATTGGTAGAGCATTTATAGTTATATATAAACCTCTGTATGTTTTATTTGGGACCAGGCTGTTGAGACAGGAAAACTCCACCTCTGTTTACAGGGCTGAACAGTTGGTAGACTTCAGGTAGGATTTAGTCTGGCTTTGCTAACTAAAAGCAAACTGTTTCTAATGGCTCTTATGGGTAGGTATGAAGAAAAAGGCTTTTTTTCCATGTCAGTAACTACATAGATGGTACCAAAAGATGTGTTGCAGTGAGACCATGTACCATACAGCAGCTGCAGCTGTAGATGCTGCCTGGCCAAGCTTACAGAACAGCCAAACAGATGGAAAGAGGACGTGGTAACAGTCACAGTGGTGATGCTTTATACATCCCCTTCATGATACCATACTATTTTTGAGTAAGGTAGAGGTAATTCTAAATGTTTCCACTGAAGGTTTTCTTCAATAAAAGCACTGACTTCTGCAGCTGCTAAGAATGTCTATTCTACTCATGCCAGTTCCATAACTGGCTCAGCATGGGTTTGGAGAACCTGACGTTCACTGTGAAATGGACTTAAGTTCGCACTCCACTGCTTAATTTATGGGTCCCATTCTCAACCTGTAGGACCAGAAGCTCAGCTTGCGTCTGCATGCCGAGGGTCAACATTTGGTTTCCAGCAGCTGCAGTCCCCTCGTCTACAGGAGACATGTCTCTCCCTTTAGGTTTCCACCTCACCTAAGAATTAAAATACTATACGGCAAATCTAGAGAAAAGCAAACTTCAGTAACTTCTACCTGTACATGGAAGACTTCGTGAGGAAGATAAAGGTGTGGAAAGGCAGAGTCAAGCTCTTGTATACTAGTTGGGATACAGGTTAGAAAAGTTTGGAAGCCTGATTAAAGGTGTTTGAGCTGAGGCAGGGATCCCAGACATGTGCCTAGGAAAGTCAGGCTAGTTGAAGAAGTTCCTCTTCCCTGTCTCAGGTCAGAATTACATGAGAGAGCAACACATTTAAGGGTATATAATCTGAGCCTCTCTACGACCTTCCATCCCTCTAGTGCTCACTATGTATTTCACAGTGATTGATATTTGGCAAAGATGGTATAGTTGATGGTTTTAGGGAAAGAATTCTAATCAACACTAATAGTGTGTGTGATGTGAGTGCATAGTTTTGGTCTCTCACTTGATTCTACCACGTAAATGAAATTAAACGAAGTTGAAAAAACGGAATAGGGTTGAACTTCTGGATCAACCTATAGATCAGCCACCCCTGGCTCCTGAGGCCAGAGTTACAGTCAGAATATGGAGTCAAAGAGACTCCTAGACAGACAAGCAATGTGTTGGGTTTACTTTGAGAGAAGACTGACCTTGAATTTGAGTTAGACTTAGAAGAAAGCAGATGATATGGACTATTGGGAAGATAGATGCAAGACGAAATGCAGGCCTTAGACCAGCTATATACATGGAAGAAACCTATCAGGGGACCACTAGGAGAAGTTGGGAGGGAGCCGAGAGGAAAGAGGGTAGAGTTAGCAAGGTGCAGGGAATCAAGGAGGACATTTATTTGACGTTTTGTTCCTATGCAGTTGATTGATAGTAGCCCATTTGTTATCACCAGAACTTAGTGCACAGTCCAGTGCACTCCCAGAAAGCCGGTTAATCAAAGGGTTTGTTTGTGCTCAGCTCTCTCCTCAGTTCAGCTTTGCTCAGTTTGTAAGAATGGCTCCTGGGATGAAGAGTGGATCCACATGGCGCCTCACAACCATTTAAAACTCCAATCTCACAGGTCCCATCCCCTCCCCTACCTTCCTGTGGCCCCAGAACACACACAGTGCACAGACATGTATGCAGGCAGAGCAGTCATACATTTAAAGTAAATCTGGTTTATGTTTTAAAGAAAGGCTCCTGCGTCATGGTCTGTGAGCCACGTCTCTTTCTTGGATGTGTTAATTAGTAAATACACTAAGTTGTTGATGCCATACGGAGTAGGAGACCCAGAGGATACAGTGACATAAAGCCAACATGTAATCACAGCCACACGAGGTTTCCTTCCTTTACTATGAATTTCCAGAAACTATCTGAAATTCTTTTGTCTCCCTAGTGAAGAATGGAAACTGGGTTATTGTAGCTGACAGAGCAGTCTCATGAGCAGGAACTCACAGCCCGAGAGTTGGTGATAAAGGGAGCTGAACCCATGGTTTTGAGACGGAGTCTCACTGTTGTAGTTGTGGTTGGCCGGGAACTTACTGTCTAGTCAGGCTGGCCTACAACTATAGGGAGCCATTCGCCTTGGCTTGAGTGCTAGAATTAAAGGCTTGTGCCACCAAACCTGGCTTTTGACAACTGAACATAATTTTGAAAGCATTTTTTCAAAATTGTTACTGAAAATAAATTGGTAAGTATAATATATGGTAATTTTCAGGACTATTATGTATCTTAAAACAGTTGTATGTATTATTTAGATACATGTTTTCTACTTTTATAAAACATTTTGTTTAAAAATTGAAACTTTTTTCTTAATTTTTTTAAAGGAAAGTCTTAAAGATGTCAAATATGATGATAAAGCCTTCTCTCATTTGTCACTTGACTTGGCAGATCGAGTATTGGCAGCAGTCAAAGAATTTGGGTACCATCGTTATAAATTCATTATAAAAGTATTATTTATTCAAAAGACTGGTCAAGCAATAAATGTAAGTGCCCCAGTGACCTAACATTCATTCATTTGAGATTTGAGGTGTTCCCAGAGGGTGTAGAGATCAGGAAGGACCTCTTGAATACAAAGGTCAGTTTGTTACAAAAAAAGCAAACTTTTTTTCATTTCAAATTATTTAAAAAATACTAGCCTAGAAATACAATTTTGCTATCAATAATTTACTAGATTATATAGCCTGCTTCTTGGTCATAGCAATTTTGATAATTTAAATGTCATTTAAATTAATTAACCAGTAAGCTAGGGGTAGTGATGCACACCTTTAATCCCAGCATCAGGAGACACAGGCAGTGGATCTCTGTGAGTTCAAGGCCAGACATCCAAGGCTACACAGAGAAACCTTGTCTTGAAAACATCAAAATAAATATTAATTTACCAGCAAGTTTCATTTAGGCATGTAATGAAGAATATGATATATTGTGATGTTATTGATGTATGATCAGGGATGAACAAGGATATGGCTTAATGATATGCTTAGGTGTCCTGTTGAGTCAATTGTGTTTTCTAGTTTATGTCAACTTAACACAAGCTAGCTAGAATCATCCGAGAGGAAGGAACCCCCGTTGAAAAATTGCCTCCATAAGACTGGGCTGTAGGCAGTCCTGCAGGGCATTTTCTCAATTAGTGATTGATGTGGGAGACTCCAGCCCTGGACCAGTGGTCCTGGTTGCTGTAAAGAAACAGGCTGAACAAGCTGGTAAACAGCTTCTCCATGGCCTCTGCTCAGCTCCTCCCCCAGGTTCCTGCCTTGAAGAATGTGTGGCCATTTTGGATCCATCACAGATGGTAAAGCTTGTCCTTGCAGGCATCACAAAGTAGTTATGGCCCATTTATACAATCAGCACCGTTGCTGCTAGACAAGACTGGAAGCTTTTGGTTGTAGGTTTCTAAATGTGGTAAGAAGCTGGGTCTGGAATAGTAGCCTGGGGCTATAGGCAGAGCTACTCTGGAGCCTTCTGACCCTGCCTAGGCTCCCTGTAAGGCAACTCCCAGCCTCCAGCAAGGAAGGGAGCCAAGCAGTCCCACTCCCTAGTCTCTCCACAGAAGGGAGAATGGGACATGTCCTTAAATAATATTTACTTTTTAATCATCTAGTGTGCATTTGGGGGATGGGGGTGTGTGCTCAAGACTGAAGGCCCGTGAAGAGGCCAAAGGTGACAGATTCCTGTGGAGGTGGGGCTACAGTTGTAAGCCATCTGGTGTGGGTGCTGGGAACTGAACTCGGCTCTTCTGGAGACACAATATATGCTCTTCTCTGTGGAGCCATTGCTCTAGCCTCTCGATTTTCCTCATATGCTAGGATGGAACTGAGAGCTTTGAGCACACCCGGCAGGTTGTTGCCATTTGAATTACCCCACCCAGCCTAACAAATTATTTCTTAAATATGATTTTCTGAGATACTGACACACTTTAAAAAATCAGATTATGTAATTTAAAAGATACTTAACACATGCTATCTGAGTCTTTAAATTTCTCTCCCACAGATTGCCAGCAGATGGATCTGGGATGTGGCCTGGGACAGCTGGGTCCAAGCTCAGCATGAAACAGAGTCTTATGTGGCGCTGGTTTTGGTATTTGCTCTCTACTGCGAATAGCTCAGGACTAAGTTTCCAAAATAAATGATGTACAGTGTGTAAGCCTCGTGTTACCTTAACAACAAACATTGAAGAGCCAGCTATATTTACTATTAGCATGTGTGGGAATTCCTTTAGCCAGCAGCCTCTAAGATCCCAGCCCACTTGTGTGTGGTCTCTTGTACTGTAAATGTAAATAGAAGTAAAGCTTGCGTGGTCTCTCTCTCTCTCTCTCTCAGCTGGGGGATTTGGATTCTGTTCCCCGCTTGCACAGAGGACTGTGATCTGTGAGTCTACCCCTAAATAAAGAGCCCTTTCTTATACCCCATTCTGAGCTAAGCTGAAGTCTGAGATAATGTAAGTGGAAGATACATTTTGGAAAACTTAGGACAGATGCATCTTGGGTGGTGTTTTAATGTTTTGTATTTGTTTTTTTGAAAGGCATCCCTAAGCTTAGAAGAAAGATGTTTAAGTATCAGTGCTCTCTTATATAATAAATTCCTCCTCCGCCAATCAACAGAAACTGACTTTATGGAATTAGTCAAATCCAGACTTAGATTTAGGTTTTGGGGACAGAGGCACACACACACATTTCCCCTTAGGAAGGGGGAACGTCATGACAGTGGAGAAGGAAATGCAGCTGGAGGGCACCTGTAAAGGACAGGGCCCGGAACAATTTCCATCACAGGAGACAGTGTGGAGCAAACCCAGTTTCTCCTCAGAAGCCTTGTATTGCCTTAAGATCAGCAGCTGAGAACAGAGGGAAAGGCCCGTCCATAGTAAGCTTAAGAAAGGATAGCATGTCAGAGAGTAGGAAGGAAAAATCCTGTGAAGCCAAGTGAGAATGTCCCACTCAGGACCTCCACCTCTCCTGCAACTCTGGTTTTGTGCTTAACTTCTTTAACAGAATTTCTCTGGGTTGTCTTTTTTTCCCTCCAATTCCTAGTCTTCCTATAACTTTCTTTCATTCACTTCAACCTGGTCTCGGAAACCACCACTCTACCAGAATTTCATTAAAAATTCAAGATAGCTGATTATTCCCCAACTGCCAAACTGACCACTCTTTCTAAAAGCTTCTCAAGGCTTCCAATACTTGAAAGTTCCCCCTCCCTTCATCTTATTGCCAAAAGTCAGGTGCCTCTAGATTGGGCCTTTTTCTAACCTATAGTTACATATTACATATAGTTACATATTTTACTGGCCTCATAAGGTTTCTACCCCACCCTTTCTGCTGTACTGCCACTGTCTGGGGGCTGAGTTCATGGACGCAGGCAGTTGGGCACCATCATTATTCACTTTCAGATAGGGCCAAAGGGATTAAAATTTCCTCCAATCACACAGTTAATAACAGTGCTGAGATCTTAACCAAAGTCTTAATTCTAAATCCGTGTCTTCTCTATAGGTCATATTGTCTCCTAACTCCTGTTTCATTTGCCCTGTTCTCAACCTGAACACACTTCCTGTTTCCAGATTGTTATCCCTTTCCCTTTTGAAACACGTGGTACTTTATCTCAATTCTTTATCTCAATTGTCTTGAGACTCTAGAATCATCTAGATTGGACTTTAACTAGGATAGGCTAGTCTCTGGATATGCTTTGGGGGAGACAAGCTTGATGGATTGCCGTGGGAAGACAGCGTCACTGTGGGCAGCACCATACCCTGGGGTAGGATCCTGGACCACACAGAAAGCAAGAGCGAGCTGAGTGCAGTCATGTTTCTCTCCACACCAGGTTGGGTGTGATGTGCCTCCTGAGCTGAGCCGGAGAAACCCTTTCTCCCATGATTGCTTTGTCAGAGTTTTTAATCACAACAGACAAATCCAATCTCCATGTTACATCTACCCATATTTGTCTGTCTTTCAAGTTTTATAACATTAAAATCGTGTTTTTAGTTGCAAGTAAGCCCTCTCCCACCTAAGCTGACCTTGGGTTCAGTGTGCTTGTGTGCTGTTGCTTCAGCTTGAAGCTGCTGATCTGTAGGCAGACATCCTGATCTACAGCACGCCCTTCACTCTGTAAGTGCAGGCCGAGTCTGGATGTGTGGACTTGATCTTTCGTCTGGACACACTGTGCATAATTCAGGTGGGGAGAAAGGTGTCGGTGTCATCAGGAGCTAGGAGCCACCCAAAAGGTCTGGCAGACTCTGGAGTGCTGTGAACCGCCCTGGGGATGAAAGGGAACTCCTGCTAGATCACCATCACCTTGCAGGTATTCATCTGGTCCTGTACTGTTTTGGAGGCGGGTGGGGAGTGGAGGGGATGGAGATCTCTGCCCCTCCTTTGTCCTCTGGACTTGGCCTCCCGTGCTCCTTTCAATGGAAGAGCCCGACTTTCAGACGTCATGGCGAAGTCCAAGAGCTAAATTAGAAATCCTACCCAAAAACCAGGGCTTCCATTTCCAGGCCCTCCCAGTCCTGTGTCCTTCAGGTGCTTACGGCCCTGCCAGTCTCATCCTATGGTCTTGGCCGTGTGGGTCAGCTAGAGAGCCACCGTGCCAAGGTCGCAGCCGAGGCAGATGTAAAACAAAGGAGCCAGGGGCGCTTGGGGACCCTGGGACGAGCAGAGAGGTGGGGTGGAGGGGTGGGAAGGATGTAGGGTGGGGAAAGGGCGCTGCAGGAGAGAGGGTCCCAATGGGGAGGAGGCGGGGCTGACCCTCCTGGCTGCGGAGATGGGGAAGCCGAGTGGGGAGACCCATGCTACCTTTATAGGAGGGAGCGTGGACCCTGGTGGAGGAGGGAAGAGCCCCCCGGGTACGCGGACCCCCGACTGAGGGGAGGGGCTGGGGACCGGGCGGTGGGGTAGGAGGACACCACGTGGCGGGGGCTCCTCTTGGAGGGGAGGAGCTGGGGACCCAGGTGGGGAAGGGGAAGGCGCCGAGGGCTGGGGACCCCCAGCTGACGCGCGGCGGAGGAGGGGAGGGGGCGGGACCGCGGCGGGGCGGGGCGGCGCGGAGCCGCGGCTGACGCGGAGGGCCGGGCCGGGGGCGCAGGGAAGGGGTGGCGGCGAGCTCGCCGGGCGGCCGGGAAGCCGGGCGGGGCCGGGGCCGGGGCTGCGGCGGGCCAGCGGGGCTCGGGCCGGGCGCGGCGCGCCGGGCGAGGGCGGCCGGGTGGCGGGCCTTGCGGAGGCCGGCGGACGCGCAGCTGCGGCCGGCTGACGTGAGCGGCGTGCGGGGCTCGGCGGGCGGCGCGCTGGCGGCCATGGCGGTGGCGCTGGCGGGCCGCGGGGCGCGCGGCGGCAGGGGCCGGCCCCCGGGCGGGCGGGCGGAGGGGGCGGGGCCGGGGCGCCGGGCGGCCCGCGCGACGGCGGCGGCGGCGGCGGCAGCGGCGGCGGCCGGGACTAAGCGGCGGCGGCGGCGCCGGCGGCGGCGCGGGGCGCTGGGGCTGATGGCAGCGGCCGGGCCCGGGGCGGCGCTGTCCCCGCGGCGGTGCGACAGCGACCCGGCCTCCCCCGGAGCGCAGTCCCCGAAGGTGAGCGTGACGCGCTGCCCAACGGCGGCGGTGGGCCGGGCCGGGCCGGGCCCGGCTGGGGAGCGGAGGGTCGGGGAGCAACAAGTGCGGCGCACGGTGGGCGCGGACCTAGGGGCGGCCGGCGGGGTGAGAAGTTGTCCGGGAATAGCGGGGGCCGGAGAAGACGGGGACTGTGGCGAAGCCGGGGCGCCCGGGCGGCTCGTCCGCCCGCAGCCTGGGACACTCGGAAAAGTTGCGGCCTTCGCGGAGCTCGGTCCGGACGACGCGGAGCGGGACCAGCCGCGGTGGCGAGGACCTCTGTCCGGGGCCGGAGCCACGTGCCCCCGTCCCTTCCCGCGGGGCCCCCGGCTGCTTGTCGGTGCCCCTCTCCGGTAGCCCGGCCCGAGCCTCGGTCGTGCCGCTGAGAGGACCCGTAACGAAAGTAGACTTCGCAGTTCCCACCTTTTGCTTCTAAACTTCTCAGTGTCAACTTCCGTTTTTGTTTCTTTCCAAATGAATCGTTGTTTTTAATTAAAGGAAATTGTTGGCATATAAAAAGTGTGCTTAAAATGTTCACACATAAAATAGGTACTCCACTGCTTAAAATGAACTGTCTAAAGTATGAAATACGAATACTATAAAAAGATAAATTTTAAGAAAAAATATTCTTTTCCAACTCTACTTGATTGTTAGTCCTAAGGGGGAATAGTCAAGTCTCTTTAATTGACTTCAGTGTTCATGACTGAAAAGGAGAATTATTTCTGTGTTCCTCTATTTGGAAAATAATTTTAGTAAGTTCCTAGGTGCTAAGACGAAATGTAAAGACTGACCAGTAATCATAAAGCTACTATATATCAGACAGTTATGTGCTGACCCTTGCTCCTGGTGCCATCCACGTTTTACTTAATTCTGATCCTTGCATCAGCCACTTAACTTTGCAGACAAGGAGAAGCTCGCAGCAAGCATTACCACACAGCTGGTGAAGGGCAGTTACCAGCAAGACTCCAGACAGCCCACCTTGGCATTTGGCATGGTGACCTGTGCTGCCTCTTTATATTCTCTCTCTCTCTCTCTCTCTCTCTCTCTCTCTCTCTCTCTCTCTCGCAGGTTTTTATTTAATATATAGTAAGAGTAGCAATGCTAGGAACTACATTACCTTAAGAAAATAGGACTTTAAGCTTCAAGTAATATGTAAATAAACTGTTTTTAAAACCATTTGATTACTCATCCCCTTAATCAAATAGCCGAACAAGATATATCATAGATGAGCGTATCACAATGTGCAGAATTTCTCCAGTGTAAGAAAGAACTCCAGCACAGGTGGCGGAACCTCGGTAGCTGTACCTGAGATCTTGATGTCTTACAACTTCTCCAGCCGGCTCCTGAGCCCATTCGCCTCCTTTTAGAAGGATGGGAGTTGGGAATTAGACTTGGTAGCCCGTGTTCAGTCCTGTGTATCCAGAGTAGTAGTTAGAATATCCTCCTGTGGATCAGTAAGTCGGAGGATGCTGTAGAATTTGTTGATATGTTTTTCCCAGCTCAAATAGGAAGGCTTGCTTTCATTTTATAGTGGTGAAGCAGAATATATTTTAAAAATTGTAGTTGAAATTTTTATTTTGTTTGAATTGAAGGTCAGCTTTTAGTTTTATTCCATTTCTTGCTTACAACAAAGTCTTTGTCCTTTTAATTATTGTAGGAAATTAAGTTTTCTAAAGACACTAGTTAGAAATATGCTTTCTCTTGTTGAGTCTTAGGAGAACTGAAAAGATACATAATCATTTGTTTTTTAACTAGTTCTTTTATTTTCTATTAATTATTTTTTAACTTGTTTCAATGTACAGGATGATAATGAAGATAATTCAAATGATGGGACCCATCCATCTAAAAGGAGGCGAATGGGCTCAGGAGACAGCTCCAGAAGTTGTGAGACTTCAAGTCAGGATCTCAGGTACTGCCCTTGCCACCCCCAGGCAGTAGGAGCAATTGTTAAAAGTTATATTTATGGGCTACAGAGATGGTTCAGCAGTTAGGGGTGCTCAATCACCTTTCAGAGGGCTAGAGTTTGTTTACTGGTGCCCACATGGCTGCTTACAGTGGCCTGTGGGCTCCAGAGGATCTGATATCCCATTCTGGCCTGAACAGATGAGTGTGCACGTGCGCACGCACACACACACTCTCTCTCACACAC